TGGTCTTTCCGAGAGCAACAGGAATCCTTCAAGGAAGTCACAATTTTTGGTCCTGGTGGGTGGATTTTAGGGACCACCAGAAACAAGGATCCCAGGCATGGTATAATCCCCGAAGGTCTTCTCCTGTTCCCTCGCTTGCCAAGACCTCCAGAGCTTCTCCAAGGCTCCTTCGGCCGCTTTGCAGCCTGCCTCCTTGGCGTTGTCAGATTTATGACCGGGCTTTAAACCCCCGCCCCCCCACTAACCATATTCCACACCCGGGATGAGCCAGGCTTTCGCCCCACCTCTGCGATGTTGAAATGGCTGTGCAGAATTAAAATTGGCGACTTTTCCAAATATTTTCTGGCTGTCCCCCTAACGCAGCCCATAATGCTCTCGTATCTCTTCCTGCCAAGGAGCTTGTTGGACTTTCAAGTCAGAAAGACCATTTTCAAGTCAACAGATTTGGAGCCTCAAGGGTGGGGAGACCCCTTGGAGTCTCCCCACCCTTGCGTGACCTTGCCAAAATGGGAACGCTCAGCTCCTTTTGGTGGCCCTGCAAAGAGAGGGGGGCCTCTACCACAATCTCAGGAGAGGCTGCACAATTGTGCACAACTTCGAAGCTATCAATCCAATCCATCCCACCCAATTCTCAGTTCTAGTCTCAGCTGCCTGCGCTTTGCTTTTGATTTCCGCCATTTCTCTCCGGCACAAAGACCGGCAAATTATGGGGTAATTTAGAGACAGATTAGCCATCTTAGCAGTAGGAATGAATACAAAGCTGACCAGGATGTAACCTAGGTTTGTGCCTGTTTGATCAGGTTATCAGACTGAAAGCAAGCCTGATTAAGAAGTGAGACAAGGGTGGGAGCTCCTATTGACCAGTGTCAGAAGAATAATTTGGAGGTCCAACTCGAGCCGGGATGGCGCAAGAATAAATAAAAATTAAATCTAGACAGCTGTGAGGAAACAAGAAATATTTATTCCCCAAGGCAAACAGCTTGGCTTTAAGGGGCAGCTACAGAGAAATGGGGTGCAGCGAGATTGTTCTATAGGGGAGCTTGTCCTGGGTGTGGAATTGTGTATGTTGATTCTAGGGTGACACTGGAGGGTCGTGGCGTGTATAAGCACACGTCATCTATGATGAAAACCATTTGGCTGAAATGGTATAGGGTTTCCTGCCTGGGCAGGGGGCTGGACTAGAAGACCTCTAAAGTCCCTTCCAACCCTGTTATTCTATTCTGTTCCGTTCTATTCATGTTTATGCTTGTGAACATGCAGTTCAGCTGGGAGACCATTTTAATTAACTCTATTTGTGTTTACAGACCTTCTCCTTTGATATGTGGATTAGATCTGAGCAAACTACTAGGGGATGCACGGAACTTTGAGTAAAAGATTTTCCCCCCTTTTGCTATTTTGACTTGATTAACCTAGTTGCAGCTTGACTGTCACTTTTCTAGCGCTGATTCTCTCAGTCCATTCTCAGTTAATGTTTCAGGGAAGATAGAAACAGTGCAAAGAATGAAATATATTTGGATATAAAACTTCCCCCACCAGGTTGGCATCTGATGTCTCCGGTTTATTGAATGAGCCACAGGGCCACGTTTCCACAAACCGAAAACTAAAACCAGACCCCTTCAAGCCAAGTTCTTCAATCTTGGCCATCTGAAGAGGTGTGGAGTTCAATTCCCAGGATTCCGCAGCCAGAAATTAATCAGGTCTGCTGGCTAAGGGGGCCCTTGGAGTTGAAGTCCAGACCTCTTCAGATGGCCCAAGATTTAGGTAACGCAGATTTACAGAATGTTGTGTGAGCAAACTGGACACCCCGCAGACACGCAGGGTTTGAATAGACCCAGACAACAGCTACAATCCCAGAGGACTCTTGCAGGATTTTAGGAACATCCAGGAGCACCAAGTGTGTGTGGGAAAAAAACCAGCAAGGGTCCGGAGTTGATTTGTTTCTGAGGAAAACCGCAACCGACTTGATAATCAGCTCCAGAAATGGAATGTGCCGTTTTCTTCGCCCCAATGAGCTAATCCTGAATCAGAACTGAGCAAAAGCTATTTTAATCAACTACCTCTCCTTTTTTCCTTTCTCGGAGATAAGATTTTAAGGCAAGAGGAAAAACAAAGCCAAGTGTTGCAACGGGGGTTTGTATTGAGGTCAGTGTTTCTCAGTCTTGGCCGTCTGAAGATGTGCGTGGACTTCAGCTCCCAGAATTCCCCAGCCAGCAGAGCATTTAGATATTGATTTATAGTTTCGTGGAACGGATCCAACGGTGACCAAGGATCGCAGCCAAAAGATATGATATATTTGCAGGCCAAATCAGGTCCAAGAAAACGACGAGTAAAACAATGTCCCTGTTGGACAGAACCTCGGGGAAAGCCAAAACAGTTGAAGTCGTGCTTGTCCGAGAACTGCGTGAAGTTGTGTTAGAAGCGCATACAATGGAAACTGTGTTTGTCGTTAGCTCAAACGGAGCGAGGAACAAGGATCAGGGAGAATTTCCGTGACACCAAATTTCAGAAGGTGGGAAGCAGTAAGATTTGGGGCTGAGTGGTTACAGGGTCAATAGAGAGTTTTAGGATGCCACTGAATTTAAGAGCAAGCACTTAGATAGGTCCCCCCACCCCTTCCCAAGGCACAGGAGGACACAACAGACAAAACATGGTGTCCCCGCCACGTAAATGTGGGTAATCCTTGACTTACGACCATAATGGAGCCATCATTTCTGTGGCTGAGGAAGACACTTGTTCAGTGAATTTAGTGACGTTCCTGGCCAGAGTTGTTTAAATGAATCACAAACTCAAGAACCACAGTTGTTAATAGCAATAGCACTTACACTTATATATCTTTATAGTGCTTTTACAGCCCCTCTCTAAGCGGTTTTTACAGAGTTAGCCTCTGGCCCCCAACAATCTGCGTCCTAATTTTACTGATTTCGGAAGGACGGGAGGCTGAGTCAACCTTGAGCCGGTCAAGATCGAACTCCTGGCGGTGGGCAGAGTTAGCCTGCAATACTCCATTCTAACAGGAAGGAAGGAAGGAAGGAAGGAAGGAAGGAAGGAAGGGTTTACAGAATCAGCCTCTTGCCTCCAACAATCTGGGTCCTCATTTGACCCACCTCGGAAGGGTGGAAGGCTGAGTCAACCTTGAGCCTGGTGGGATTTGAACAGCCGATAGTCAGCAGAAGTGGCCTGTAGTACAGCACTGTAACCACTGCACCACCGAATCTCTTTATTTTAAGTTAATAACACGTCGGAAGGTTCCAAAAAGGGATCACGTGACCCCCAGGACCCTGTGACCATCATAAATATGAATCAATTTGCCAAGCATCTGAATGTTGATCACGTGAATACGGGGGGAGGCTGCAAGGGTTGTGTGAACAATGGCAGCAAATCCCATTTTCCAGTGCTGCTGTAACTTGGAATGGTCACTAAGGGAACCACTGTAAGTCGAGGACTACCTGTAATGCATTTTTGGGCTGCAATCAGAGAGGTTGTTCTGCAAGGAGAGACAGCCCACTCCCCTGGCTTTGGAGAGAGAGGGGGTCAAAGTAGGAGGCAGCGCTGACTCATCCGACCACGTCAACGGGGCTGCTGTACAGAGAACATCAAAGGGGAAGCGAGGATGAGAGGCGGGTGAGAAGAACAACAAACCACGCAGGAGGGAACAAAGGAGCCTTCAAAAGCAACCTGATTATTTGCCTCACAAGCTAATTGGGGTACAAAGTGTGTGTGTGTGTGTCTGTGTGTGTGTGTGTGTGTGCGTGTGTCACACACAGGTAATAAAGGATGCAAAGAAAAGAAGTCAAAGAGCAGTTATCAGCTGCTGAAAGCCAGGTGTTAAAAACGAGAGGAAAAATATGGTGGAAAGAATAACAGAGTTGGAAGGGACCTTGGAGGTCTTCTAGTCCAACCCCCTTGCTTGGACAGGAGACCCTCTATCATTCCAGACAAGTGACTGTCCAGTCTCTTCTTGAAAACCTCCAGTGTTGGAGCACGCACAACTTCTGGTGACAGGCTGTTCCACTGGTTAATGGTTCTCACCGTTAGAAAGTTTCTCCTTAATTCCAGGTTGCTTCTCTCCTCGCTTAGTTTCCATCCATTGTTTCTTGTCCTGCGTTCTGGTGCTTTAGAGAACAGCTTGACCCCTTCCTCTTCTCTATTGGAAGGCTGCTACCAAGTCACCCCAGGCCTTCTCTTCCCTAGACCAGCCATACCTAATTCCCGCAACCATTCTTCGTATGTTTTAGCTGCCAGCCTCCTAACCTTCTTTGTTGCTCTTCTCTGCACCCTTTCCAGAGTCTCAGCGGCCTTTTGCTATCATGCCAGTGGCACTCCGAGGCCCCAGGACCAAAATGAAGTGGAGCAGCAGGCCAGGGACTGACCTCTCCCAGGAGCCCAGGTGAGGTCCACAGAGCATCTCACGTGACACCTGTCGCCTTGAGGAGAGACCCAAATCTTGGGCACGGGATATCCCATACCCGACCAGACTAGATCTTGGCCTCTCCTGAAGAGGTCAGTCCCCCATCCTGTCTCCAAAGTTTTCCACTCTGAGATTGTATTTTCTGGAAGATTGCAAGGGATGGCAATCCAGAGGCAAATTCTACGGATGCTGCAAGATGTCTTCCCGTCCAAAACCTTTCCAAGTTCTACACAATGTCAGGCTTCGTCTTCTTGTGTTGGAGGACAAACTCGGGGCTTTGGGTGTGGGGTTGAGGGATTTCTGTAGCTCAGAGGTCTCCAAACTTGGCAACTTTAAGACTTGTGGACTTTAACTCCCAGAATTCTCCAGCCAGCATAGCTGGGAGTTGAAGTCCACAAGTCTTAAAGTTGCCACGTTTGGGGAACGCTGACGCAGCTGATCAACCGGAAGGGTGAAATGCAGTCTCTGCAAGGACCACAAAGCAGAAATGTGGAAACTTCATAAAAGGACCTTCCTCGGCCAGCATCAGAGGATCCTAGCAGGAAATCCAAGGAGATCCTTCAACGAGCCACTTCCAGGACTGGCACCTTCTTCAGTTTTGATCTGGAGCGGATTCCAGGTCAGCCGTCTGTGGGGGAAGAAGGGGGCTGGCCCCCAGTCTCTTTCCTTCATTATGGAAGCCCCTGCGCATCACAGCTGCCAGGTATCTGAAGAGACCCTTGGGAATGCAGGGAGGGGGAGGGGGAGATCAAAGAGAAGGCAAATTCGTTTATAACTCTTAAGTGTAATTCAGGCAATCCTTGACTGATTCAATTCAATCCTTGAATTGATTCTTGGTGTCCTCTGAACTTAGTTGCTTCCTTGCAAATGTTTCATAACCCAACGAGGTAATATCATCAGCGCTACAAGGGAGCGGGGTTTGTGTACAGGAGGAAAAGGAGGACGGTGGGTCCTTGGTGGTCTCTGAACTTGGTGGTTTGCTCTGAGATGTTTCATAACCCAACTAACTAACATCACCAGTGAATTTGGGGTTTGCGTCCTGTTTATATATAATCACTTGCTCCGCTAGATTTGTTGCAATACAGTTTTCTACTTGGTGGTTGGGATACTTTCTGTTTGATTGTTTGTCTGGTCTTAATCCCTGCTTACTTTCTAATTTCTCCTTACCTCCCAGGCTCTCTCAACTTCCAGAGTCCAATCTTCTTTGAGAATTGGTCGAACAGCCTGGATGAATTGAATTCCAATATACTGAGAAAAAAGAAAAATATAAAAAGCCAACGGTAATTTTGGGAAAGAGAGACAGAGAAGTGGATTGCCTGCTGTGAATTACTAGCAACTTTTATAGCTGTTGGATTGCTTTAAAATATATGTGCTGTGGGCCAGAGACATTTTAAGAGATACAATAGTGGTTCTACAATAACATCTGAGAAAAGAGGATAAAATTTTATGGTGCAATTCCCTCGCCTCACACCGTGAATTTTACAAGGGTTTAGGCTTGGTCATTTTTCATTTGTCTTCTTCCCTGGTTTTTCTGCTGTTATTTCTTTCTTTCTTAGCAAGACCAATTGAGCAAAAAAAAAATACATCTAAAGAAATCAAAAAGCAACACATCTGCATATTTTAAGGGAGGTGGAGATCCCCCACCCAGAGGTGGTCTTCAGACGGTTCTGACCAGTTCTGGGGAACCAATAGCGGAAATTTTGAGTAGTCCAGAGAACCGGCCAATTCCACCTCTGACTGGCCCCACCAACCCCACCTATTCTCCACCTCCCACCTTGGGGGGGTCCAGAGGTGGGATTCAGCCGGTTCACACCGGTTTTGGAGAGACTCAGTAGCAGAAATTCTGAGTCGTTGGGAGAACTGGCCGCCCCCGTCTCTTCTCCGCCTCCCATCGAGTCCCAGCTGATCGGCTGGGTCTCCTTTGGTTGCCCTGCACAGAAGAACGGAGCTGGAAAGCAGGTTAGTGGGGTAGGGAGGGAAGGGGGATTTTGCAGTATCCTTCCCCTGCCACGCCCACCAAGCCACGCCCACAGAACCGGTAGTAAAAATATTTGAATCCTACCACTGACCCCACTTGCAACGCCCCTGCGTTATGGGAACCAGGTGATATCGGCAAGGGAGCACCCAAGCATTTAGAAAAAAAGCAACACTAACCATAAGGGAACATTGCTGCCCTTCCTGAAGGAGAAGAAGGACCTGGGGGTGGAGTTAAAAGAGGAATCAGCCTAGAATCCCTACAAAGCCACAACTGGCCCGAGTCCAACGTCCCTTGAACTCCATGAACATCTAATTCCACGCAAGCGCCAATGTTAGGTGAGAAGATTCCTGTATATAGACTTTTAGCAATAAAATAGTTGATGGGAAGATCAATTCACAAGGATTTGAGCTTTCGCACCTGATACCTTCCACTCCAAAAAGAGAGAGGACTGAAAGGCCATCTGGAATTAGGAATATCCTTCTTAGAAGATTCAAGATCTGAAGTGCTTTAGTTCTTCAATAGCAGGGGTCTTGACAGCTTTAAGACTGGTGGACTTCGACTCCCGGAATTCCTCCTCTAGTCATGTTAGCTCAGGAATTCTGGGAGTTGAAGTCCACCAGTCTTAAACTCGCCCAGGTTGGAGACCCTTGTTCAATAGGATGTGTAGGGCACCCCAACCTCCGAATTCAGCCCTGGCTCGCTCTCCTTCCTTCCTCTCACCTCGTAGTATTTGGGAGGAGCTTTATAATGGAAGTGGTTCTTTCCCAGCTCAAAGGCAAGAACCTCCAGCTTGTCTTCTTGATCGAGTCGGGCCACGCTCTTCTCGATGAAGGACATCACTCTGGGGAGGGCGAGAGAAGAGAGGAGACCTTGTTCGGGGATGGGTTCACATGGGACATGAGGAGGCCCCGTTTCTAGGAAATCTACGATGACCCCTAGGAAAGTTCTGGGCAGGGAGGAAGTTCAGATTCAGTCTTGCGTAAGAAGGGAGGAATTCTCCCAATTACAGGAAACGTCTAGGAAAGCAACTCTCTCTTCCCATCCACGGCTCCTTAGAGGGTCCGTGGGGTCCCAAAACAATGAGTAATCCTTTCAGAGTAAAGCTGGCTGGGGAATTCTGGGAGTTGAAGTCCACCCCTCTTCCAGCTGCCAAGACTGAATGGAAACACACTGGCCTAGATATGCTAATGACCGAGTTGGCTTTCAAGGATTATTTCAATCTCCTCCAGAAGCAATAAAGATCAAGAGATAAAACCAAGATAATGCAGGCCACATGTACCCTTCCTCTTCAAAAAAAAAAAAAAAAACGAGGAAGATCGGGTTGCAGCGGCCAAATGTCAACCCCGTGGGAAAGATAAAAGCCAGAAAAAGAAATAAAGAGATTCTTCCCACCCGCAACCCTGTGCCAAAGAGCACGAAAACCCTCCATTTGCATGCTGGCTGGGGAAATCTGGGAGTTGAAATCCAGGCATCGTAAAAGTCTATTAACATGCCGGCTGGGGAATTCTGGGAGTGCACAAGTCCATAAGTCCCTGCCTTATGTTATTCCAGAGAAATGGCCATCCAGTCTCTTCTTGAAAACCTCCGGCGACGGAGAAGGAAGGGAGGGAGGGAAGGAGGGAGGGAAGGAAGGAAGAACAGGGTTGGAAGGGACCTTAGAGATCTTCTAGCCCAACCCCCTGTTCAAGTCAGAGACGCTATACAACCTGGGATGGCTGTCCAGTCTCTTCTTGAAAACCTCCAGTGACAAAGTACCCACAACTCCTGCAGGCAACTTGTTCCACTGGTGAATCGTCCTCAGTGTCGGAAAAATGCCTCCTTACTCCTAGGTGATAGTGTGGTCCACAGGCGCAAGGAAGGAGCCCAGCCCAGCCCCGGATAGAAGCATCTCTAAGGGGGACGATGGCATTTCAGTCTGGATGGGGGAGGAGAGCCGGGAGGCCCCTCAGACCCACCTGAGGCCATGAGCTTGCAGTTCCTTGCTCATCTTCAGCTGCTGCAGATCGTCCACGTCACGGAAGAGGAAAAACATGTCTTTGCACTCAGGGTGGGTCTCAAATAGCCTGGAGAGTAAACAGGGGAGGGTCCAGAATGGGGTCGCCTTCCTCCCGCCTGGAATGGAGGAGGAAGGTCTGCAGCCCAGGCCACGGTGAGAGAAGGGACCGCTCAGCCCTCCAGAGGAAAAGGGGCCCGTCAATCATCTCGGAAGGGACCCTCCCAGGGGTGGGATTCAAACATTGTTACTACCGGTTCTGTGGGTGTGGCTCGGTGGGCGTGGCAGGGGAAGGATATACTGCAAAATCCCCCTCCCCTCCCCACCCCACTAGCCTGCTTTCCAGCTCCGTTCTCCTGTGTGGGGCAACCAAAGGAGACAGAGATGATTGGCTGTGGGCGTGGCCTGGTGGGCATGGCATTCTGTGGGCATGGCTTGGTGGGCATGGCAGGGGAAGGATACTGCAAAATCCCCCTCCCCTCCCCACCCCACGAGCCTGCTTTCCAGCTCCGTTCTCCTGTGCGGGGCAACCAAAGGAGACCCAGCCGATCAGCTGGGACTCGATGGGAGGCGGAGAAGAGACGGGGGCGGCCGGTTCTCCCAACGACTCAGAATTTCTGCTACCGGTTCTCTCCAAAACTGGTCTGAACCGGCTGAATCCCACCTCTGGACCCCCCCAAGGTTCTGGGACTGTAAAGGTGTGGGAAGGAGAGGGAAGAGATGTACCGGAAGTCCTCGACTTACGACCCCAGTTGAGCCCCAAATTTCTGTTGCTACACCAGACAATTGTTAAGTAGGTTTTGGCCCATTTTACGGCCCGAGTTAAGCGAATCTCTGCAATGGTTATGTTAGTCACACGGTCGTTAAGTGAATCTGGCTTCCCCGTTGACTGCTTGTCAGAAGGTCAGAAAACAGGGATCACGTAACCCCCCCGGCATACCGTCATAAATATAAGTCATCCGCCAAGCCCCTGAATTTTGATCATGTGATTACGGGGATGCTGCCAAAGTCGTAACTGTGAAAAATGGCCATAAGTCACTAGTATTTATATATTATAAATCTTCCCTATATACAAAAGCAAAATCCCATTCACGCATCACCACAAAATCTCCAGAACCGTCAAGCCTACAAACTTGAAATCTGGCCCATGTGTTCCTCTCTGCTTCTAGGGGCTCACTAAGAAAGGACCCCCAGAGCATTAAGAGTATTTCCTATATTATTATTATTATTATTATTATTATTATTATTAACACGCTCTGATGCTAAGGAGTTCTACTCCCGCTCCCCACCTGAAAAGAAATTTCCTACTGGTTCTGCAGCTCCTCTTCTTCCTCCTCCTCCTCCTCCTCCTGTCTCCCTTCTCCCAGACCGGACAACCCACCCCCATGTTCAGGGGTGTTTCTGAACCCCATTTTCTTTCCCCTCCTATCTTTGGGGCTCGGCCACCTCCCCTTCCCACGTCCCCCACCGGTTCTTTGGCATCTGCTTTGGCCAAAAAAAAGGGGAAGAAATGGGGGGATGGGGGGGATAAACACAAGAATTGTTTAAGGAATGTTTATCCTGGCCTTTGTCATCGTGATCCCAGGATGTTTAAAACTCTCCTCAAACAAAGGCCATGCCAACTGCAATCTGTAAAAGCCGTCTGAAAAGCACATGTTAAAACAGCAACGCAAACCCAGCCGAGCTGGAAAAGGCTCCCTGGGGACTGAAGCGCTCTAAAATCTACTCCTCCTTTCATCTCTGTGTGTGTGTGTTTTTTTTTTTAATGCCAGGCGTGCCTCTGCAGCAGGTGGCACCCGACAGTTCCTCCTCCCGTCTCTTTCCTCCGCCCATCCTGGCAAGATGGGAAGGGAAGAGAAGTGAGAAGGAACAGAAGAGAACAGAATATGAATGAATGAAAAATAATGGAATGGAACGCAGGGCAGGATAGGGTAAGATGGATAGGATAAGATAGAACAGAAAATATAGGATAGGATAGGATAGGATATGGAGAATGAAGAATGAAGAATAGAATAGAATAGAATAGAATAGATTAGAATAGAATAGAATAGAATAGAATAGAATAGAATAGAATAGAATAGAATAGAATAGAATAGAATAGAATATGGAGAATGGAGAATGGGATAGGATAGGATAGAATAAAATATGGAGAATTCAAATAGAAATAGAAATAGAATAGAATAGAATAGAATAGAATAGAATAGAATAAGGAATAGAATGGAATAGAAAAGAATGAATAAGGAATAGAATAGAATAGAATGAATAAGGAATAGAATAGAATAGAATAGAATAGAATAGAATAGAATAGAATAGAATAGAATAGAATAGAATAGAATAGAATTTTTTATTGGCCAAGTGTGATTGGACACACAAGGAATTTGTCTTTGGTGCATAAGCTCTCATTGCACACATAAGCAGCAAGTGATAAATAATCATCATAATCATAAAATACAGTCACCATGAATCACAAGGCACAACACTCAGTGATAGTCATAAGATACTAAATAAGAGCAATCAGCATAAATCATAAGGTAGAAATAACAGGATAGTCATAAGATGCTAAAGGCATAGGAAACAGGAAAGAGGAAAAAGAGAATAGGTATGACGGCCCTACTAATGGTTGGCTATCCCAGGGCATAAGACCGTGTTGTGGGAATTAGTGGTCTACTGGAGTGATAGCATTGGGGGGCGGGGGGGCGGGGGGATCTGTCCTTGGGTCTGGTTGTTTGGGCGTGTAAGGCTGCGCGGAGTTGTCTTGAAGGAAGATGCTGAAACCGTTTGTGTCCCGGATGTGGGAGGTATTTTCTCAGCCCTCTTTCTGACCTGTGCAACGGACAGGTCTTCCTTCTATGGAAGGCAGGATGGTTGCAACTGTTTTTTCTGCAATCCCAACTATCCATTGGAGTCTGTATCTGTCCTGTTTGGTTGCTGTGCAAAGGCATAAGTGCACCAGCGTGCCTACTTGCCGAACCAGACGCCTTCGGTGCTTCTCCTTTGGAATAGTAACTGGGAAAGAAGTCGGCTGAAGAAACACCGGGTACCTGGGTTGTAATTTGGAGCATTCATCTAGTTTGCTCTGGTTTTAATTAGCCAGGAGCATTTTTGCCTGTGAAGAGCTGATGCCAGCTCCCTCGGCTTCTAAACTAAAACCCGTCAGGTGGGCACCTTAGCCTGCAAAACCAGGGAAGGCACCTGGGGTGGGAGGTAGGGAGGAAGGTTTCACAAAAGCCCCTGCAAGAAAAGAGAGGCTGGGGCTGCCCTCCTCCCTCCGGCTGCCTCCCTCACGCTGCCAGGGGGCAGGCAAGGCGTTAAGCCAGCTGGACCCCCTGGGGTGAAGCCTAAAAGGGGCACAAGAGAGTTTTTTTTGGGGGGGGGTCGAGAGAACTATTATTATTACAATATATTTGTCAGTGGGAGCAGATGACTATCTCTGAGTATGTTTATTTTTTAATGCACATTTTTTTCTTCGTTTAATTTTGCTTTGTTCTTGTTTCCTTCTTTTTTTTCCTTTTAAGGGTTTGTATTTTAATTTTGGAAAGAATAAAATAAAATAAAAATATTGTTTTACAAAAAGGGAACCAGCAAGGTCGGGAGCGCTATAAGAAGTGCATGGGTGGCCAGAGACTCTTCCCCTTCCTTCTCTCTTTCTCTCTTCCAATGCCAGCCTTTGCCCTTGGCAAACAGCGGTTGCCTTTCCAACAGATTGCAGAGCCGTTTAACATCTGGCAACGGGGCCGCTGCAGATCCTCATCCAGGGTTGATCCACACTGACCCACAAAGACATTTATAGAGACTCTTCTTCCCTCCTTTCTGAGTCAGCATCGAGCAGCCCTGCTGGGAAACGCTGCCCATTCCCAGATGCGAAACAGATTCCTGGGGCGGAAAATGCTTTTCGGCTTGGTGTGAGTCTGATAATCACAAGTGGAATTTATTGCCTCATTGAATTACTTTCAAACATCTCAGGGAAGTAAAAACGGGCTGCCTGCAGCCACGGACTGGGGGCAGTGGCGGATTAAGGCCCAGAGCACTGACAAATCTTGGTGCGCCCCCCCTTTCGACACCTTCGCACAAATGAAGCCATATTCGCCACTTTTCAGTGCCCGCTTTGGGCCTGGTGGTGCCCTAAGCCCGTGCTTCGTCTGCTTCATGGTCAATACACCACTGACTGGGTGGTCCTTGGCGCCCTCTGGCCTTGGTAGCTTCCTTGTAGACGTTTCATAACCCAACTAGGGAACATCATCAGTGCTAGAAGGCAGGGGCTTTGCAGGGAGCGGGGGAAGAGGAGGGAGAAGAAGATTATGGGGTCCTTGGTGCTCTCTGAGCAACCAACCGAAGTATCAGAATAAAACAACAACCAGAATACACAGAGCTTCAAAGAGGACTCGGAATCTATCGAACGACTTTGCTTCCTGCAATGGTTTCGTCATTGAGGTCTGACTTTTATCCCTTATGGGAGGGGCCAATCACCTCCCAGCCTTATTCCCGAGTCGCCCCTTCTGCTTCAGCTGCTCTCACCTCCTAGCAGCTCTGCGCACACGCGCACTGGGAACAGGCTCCCCTGGCTCCTCTGCCTTGCTGCTGCCAGACTCCAAAAGCTCCGGAGGCAGCACCCCACAGAACCGGTAGTAAAAGTTTTTGAATCCCACCACTGCCCTATTTGTGTTTGCAGACCTTCTCCTTAGATATGTGGATTAGGTCTGGGTAACCTATTTGGGGCTACAAGGAACGTTGAGCAAAAGATTTTTCCTGTTTGCTATTTTTTTTTTTACCCAATTAACTTAGTTTCAGCTTGACTGTCGCTTGCCTAGCGGAGACGCCGGTTCTCAAGACCAGGGTAGACTCTGTCAATGTTTTAAGGGCAGATGGAAACAGCGCAAAGGATAAAAATACAGTATTTCTGGATATAAAACGTCTCACAAGAGAGAATCAAGATGGAAGTCCCAGCGTCAAAGTTGGGGGGGCGGGCCGGGGGGGGGGTGTCTTTAAAGCAGGGCTCTCCAACCTTGGCCACTTTAAGATTGGTGGACTTCAACTCCCAGAGTTCCTCAGCCAGCTTTGTTGAAGTCCACCAGTCTTAAAGGGGCCAAGGTTGGAGACCCATCGCGGTTTATCCGGAGTGCCTCCCTGTGATGGAAGCCAGGGGCCAATCCTCAGTTTACCCGGAATGTGCATTGAAAGTCCTTTTTCGGGAAGCCCGCGAGGCGTGGGAGCAGGCTGCCGATCCCAAGAGACTCATCTTTGGGATGAATCATCTTGCAAAGTGGAATCCCCCCCGCCCTCTCCCGCCCTTGAGAAACGCTATTTTATTTCATTAAAGTAGATTTAGAGATTCCCTCCCTGGACTGTCAAACCTCCGTGGGTGGCTTAGAATGTAGAAAGGAAGAGAAACAGGATGGCGGAGAAGGATGAAGCCCACGTGGGAAGGGAGTCTTGTGGTTCACCGTCAGCCGGTGCAGACGGCAGCGGAATTGGACAGTGGGAAAGAACGGGCGGGTGGGGGGGAGGAGTTCGGAGAACCGGCCAATCCCACCTCTGACTGGCCCTGCCGACCCCTTCTGATCGGCTGGGTCTCCTTTGGTTGCCCTGCACAGGAGAATGGAGCTGGAAAGCAGGTTAACAGATTAGCAGAGTTGGGAGGGACCTTGTAGGTCACCTAGTCAAACCCCCCCCCGCCGAGTGGGAGACCCTACACCATTTCTGACAAAGGGCAGTCCAATCTCTTCTTGAGAGCCTCCCACACCTTCCGAGGGCAAGCTGTGCGCATACTTCCCCTGCCACGTCCACCGAGCCGTGCCCACAGAACCGATAGTAAAACAGAATGAAACCCAGCACTGCCCTGGTAGTGCTTCCCCACCGTCAGCGGCCAAAGGCCAGCCTTCCCCGACCAACGTTGTGGCGTCCGTTGCATCGACTGGGACGTCCCCTTGGCAAGAGGGAAACCGAGGCTTACCCAATAAAGAGAATGATCCCCACTCGAGCGATGTTCTTATGGAGGACGCTCCAGGACTCCCGGACCGAGTCCTTCTGGGCCGCGGAGAGGGGAAAGGCTTCCTCCCGCTCCCCATGGCTGCCAGGATCCGTCCCTTTCGCCTCCAGAGCCAGTGCTGAGCCCCTCCTGTCTTCAGAGACGGCCGGATCCACTGCGTCTCCCGTGCTAGATAAGGTGCATCCCATCTGCAGCGCAGGGTTTGCCTCCTCTGGAACGACAAAGGCAGACAGGTAGCAATCCAGAGATGGAATAAACCAGGATCAGGCAAGGAGCTCTTCAGATCTCGGCCTGCGAAGGGCAGCGGTGTGTGTGTGTGTGTGTGTGTGTGTGTGTGGAAATACAGCCGCTGTTTGACTGCATGCAATGAAGTTTGTCAATCTTGGTTTGACGCCTGGACTTCAACTCCCAGAATTCCTAAGAGCTGGTTGGGGGGATTCTGGGAATTGAAGTCCAGGCATCTGAAAGTGGTCACGATTGACTGACTTCAAAATGCAAATTCAACCGCAATAAACTTCCCTAAATTTATCCTAGTTCGTTCTTTCCCAAAAGAGCCGAGGTCGACGTGTCCCAGTCGAGCCGGCCTTCGTTCCGCCCTGAAGGAGAACCTGGTTGTTTTCCCAGTTGTGCAACCTCAGTAGCATCTTGTTTCTCTATTCTATGTTTGTTTATTGGGGGGGTCTGTTTTATTTCAAGCAGGTTGGGTGTCACCCTGCAGGGAAATCCAGCCGCCGCCCTGGCGGTGAATGTCAGGAATGCCTGAAACCGGCAGGGCAGCCTCAAGATGTCAAGGGCGGAGAATTTGGGGGAATCACGGAAAAAGTGGGAAGGGGAGAGGAAGAGGAAGAGGAGGGGGAAGATGATGACCATGGGGTCCTAGATGCTCTCTGAGCTGGCTTTTGTTTTTGCAGACATTTCATTACCCAAGTAGGTAACATCATCAATGCTAGAAGGGAGTGAGGTTTGTGGGGAGGAGGAGGAGGAGGAGGAGGAGGAGGAGGAGGACGACTGTGGGGTGGCCTCTGAGCTTGCTGGTTTTCTGCCAGACATTTCATGGCCCAGCTAGGTAACATCCTCAGTGCTACAAGGGGGTGTGATTTGCTCTCTGTTTATATACAGTCCCTTCTAGCATCGGCGATGTCGCCCAGTTTGGCTAACGACGCCCCTGCAAGAAAACCACCAAGCCCAGGAATCACGTCCTTTATGGATCAGGGGTGAGATGGAGGTCAGGAAGGGCGACCAGGAGAAAGGTGCCCTGGGACCCCACCTTGGACATCTCTGGGCGAGGCTGGTCTGCTTCTCTCCAGCGGGCAAGGCAGGTTCGATTGGGCAAGCTCTTTGCCATAAACTAGCATTCGATGAATGGTTGCAGGACCTGGGTAGGTCTAGTCCAGAGGTCTCCAAACTTGGCAACTTTAAGACGGGTGGACTGAACTTTTGGGATCCCTGGTCTAGTCCCAGGAAGAGAAGGACCAGGGGGGACATGAGAGCATCTTCCAATATCCGAGGGGCTGCCACAGAGAAGCGGGGCGGGGGTCAACCTCTTCTCCAAAGCCCCTGAAGGCAGGACAAACAAGAACAAATGGAAACCAGTCAAAGTGTGAAGCAACCTGGAATTAAGGGAAAACTTCCTAAGAATGAGGACAATTAACCAGTGGAGCAAGTAAATGCTCCAACCCTGGAGGCTTTTAAGAAGAGACTGGTCTGAAATGGTATATAGCGTCAACAATCAACCCGTGGAACAGAAGTTGCCCTCGGAAGTTGTGGGAGCGCCTCCAGAAGAGGTTGGACTGACATTTGTCTCCTGCTTGGGCAGGGGGTTGGACTAGATGACCTACAAGGTCCCTTCCAACTCTGATTATCTGTTATCTGGTATGGTCTCTTCCAGGCTCATGATTGTAGAGGGATGAGGAAGGGAAGGGAAGGGAAGGGAAGGGAAGGGAAGGGAAGGGAAGGGAAGGGAAGGAAGGAAGGAAGGAAGGAAGGAAGGAAGGAAGGAAGGAAGGAAGGAAGG